AAAAAAACTACAATTTAAACTACAATTTATGTTTAAATTCAGGCTGGTTGATCTTAAGGGTCATATGCCTAGGACCATGGGTAAATATCCTGTTTCCCCGAAAATAAGACCTATCCCAAAAATAAGACCTAGCATGTTTTTACACATGCACCCAATATGAGCCCTACCCGCAAAATAAGCCCTACTTAAGAGCCTGCGCAGCCAGTCAGCTGCCCATTCTGTCTGGTTGCTCGTAGTGCCATGGCCAAGAGGCACAGTGGGGTGAAGGTAGAGCTACCCCATATGTCCCACACCAGCTTACCTCAGGGCCCCCGCAGCCAGGCCATCCACACCCTGACACCTGTTTCGCGGCAGCAGCACCAACAACCATGTGCAGCAGGTGCCAGCCCACTTCTTCTGCTTGCTCATGGCTGCAACAGAGCAGGAGGCCGAGTGATGGTGCCACAGCCACGAGGTAGGTGTCAGGGCGTGGGGGCCTTGAGGTAAGCCGGTGCGAGGGGCAGCTCCACCCCTGCCTCACAGCAGCAGCACTAGCACACCATGTGGCCTCTGTCTCGCCATGAGCAAACAGAAGAAATGGGCCTCCTATACATGGGAAAAAAATAAGACACGCGCCATGGGGCCCAAAATAAAATAAGACGCACTCTTATTTTCGGGGAAACATGTGTACTGATTCATTCATACACGTTTGCATATAAAATTGAGAATTGAGGTAGATAAAGATAAAGTCTCTATCCTCACTTATTCTTCCCAGCCTGTTCCTTACCTACAAATTTTGCAGCTGCTTTCGGTAGTCATGCCTTCAAAGGATTTTATGGCTAAATTTTGGGCAGCTGTTTTCTTAAAAGGCCTTGTTTTTGCAAGACTTTCCAGTAGGATTACAGAGCACTCTCAATTACAGATCCCTGAGCTGCAGACACTCTAGAGGTTTTGCACTCAGATGATTCTATGATGGGTGGGTAGGGGGCCTTTCAGGAACTGAGGCTTTTAGAAATGTCAATAACTATGGAGTGGGAAACCAAATAGCAAAGTAACTATGGGCACCTGCACATCTACATCAAACCCTGTATCCCACCTGGGAATTGCAAAATTTTACCCCAAATTATGGTTTTCAAATTAAGCAAGGATGGTTCTGGCTTGTTTAAAGTTTTAACTTCAATTAAATAACATTCTGATTTTTAAATATACTACAAAGAACACTTCTGCTTTAAAATGGAACAATTATCCCTTGAACACACAGGTAGTCCTTGGTTAACAGCCATTCGTTCATCAACCAAAGTTATGCTGAATGAGGACCTATGTTGCAGCCATTACAGTGTCCTGCAGTCACATGATCACCATTATTAATCTTCAACAATAAGCAAAGTTAATGAGAAGCCTGGCAGGTAGTCACAAATGGCAATCACTTGACATCACACTTAATGATTACATGGGATTTGCCTAACATGCTTAACAATAGCATTGCTTAGTGATAGAGTATGTTCCCCTGTGTCCAGTTCTTGTCAACTGAGGGGACAGATGATTACCATGATTAGGGAGAGGACATACCCAATATGTTCAGCTAACTCATTCAGGTAATGCTAATCAAAGTTTAGTATTACTCTGAAAGATCCCATGGCTACTTAGAAGCAAAACATCCACCTAATCAGTACCTCGGTTTCTTCATCATTGTATTACATGGGAACTATACCTGTATTTTATTAAGTATATTCCATATAAGGATATTTTATATTAAATATATTCTATAAGTTTATATTAAATTCTTATTTTTATAGAGCACAAAAAAACTATAGATCTGTAGCTTAGGATCTTTATAGTCCAATATAATATTTACTCAGAATTAAGTCCAAACAGGTTCAGTCGCAGGTAAATGCACACAGGATTCTAGATTCAGCAGACAGTAAAAAGCATTGCATAGGAAGACAAAGAGTAGGTAATGCAATGGCTTATTCGACCCTGAATGCATAGACATCTCACTTAGTACCCACCAAACTTTTTGACCCATCTTCTGAAAACTTACAATAAAGAGGTGGCATGATGTAAAATAAAATCTCGGCTTCTGACACTCCGTTTAGTTACAGGAATGTCTCTGCACTTTGCACAAGTCCACAGACATATGAAGAACATTCAGATGCTGGGCAACTGTAGCTTTGGATTTTGTTAGCAAGCAAATTCACCAAGTCAAAGTTGGTGGTAGTAGAAAGCCACCAACTGGAGCACAAAGACGATGGTAAGGAAAAGCTACTCTAGTGTAATATGTTTTTTTTGTGTGTGTGTTCTGTGCAACTGGGCACAAGTGTAAGGGATGGTGCCCATGGAGAAGGAGCGGGTATGAACCAGCAGTTTCACAGGAAGCGGGTGGAACATATTCCAGAAAGGGGAGAGGGACCACAGGCAGCCCAGCCCAGAACTGGATAGGATACAGAGGAAGAGAGTTAGGATAGCCACTCCCTAAAATGTCCCAGGCTATATATCCTTTAGGTTGAGAGTAGTAAGGGTTAAATCTGGCAAGATTCTGTGCGTAAGCAAATAAAGAACTGAATTATTATTCTTTGCCATCCTTGAGCTTAGCCTGACAAGAAGCCTTGTCATAGCAGCAATTTTGTAAGAGTTTCCACAACATTCCAAATGTCTCTTTATTGCTATACAATCAGTTCCAACTCCTTGAGATCCAATGGATATAACTTCACCAAGCCTGTCAAGAATTGAGTTTTTGAATATTTCTGTCATCAACTCTATTATCCAGCTACCCTGTGCTCTTTTTCAACTGCCTTTGATTTTTGCACATTTCAGCGTCTCTTCCAATGATTCTTACTTTCACATTTATGTGCCCCAAAGACTGAAGTTAATGTTCATTGTTAATGCTTCCACTTTAGCTTCTAGTTTTACTTGTCTCCTAGTAAAATCAATCCAGGTATCTACTAGTACAAAAATATTCCCTAAACTAAGGGCATTAATTTACTAGACTCCAGGAGTCTTCTAGGTAAATTTGCATAAGACTTCAATGTGCTGTCCAATGTATGGACTTTAGCCTGTCTTTAAATGCTACAACATGTTAGCTTGCAAATACTACAGCTCACAATTGCTTTTCAATATAATTTTCTAAAAAATGTGTTTCCAACTGTTGCCTCAGTTTAAAAGTTTATTCCAGATTTGTGTGGACTTTCATCATTGAAAGCCTGATGAATTCTTTCAAACTTCGCTTAAAAGCATTTTTAAAAAGACAGCCGCCATATTACAAAAATAACCTGTTCCACAAAAAGAGAATCACGGTTTCATATTTAGCATACTTCATATCAGGCATTAGAGTTAGCTATGTGGTTTATATGTTACATTTGTAATAATCTGGGAAAATCATTGTAGTTAACATCTCTCACCTTATACCTGAGTCAGTGGGGGAAAGGCAAAGTCTTTCATTAGGCATTATCTTCTTCAAATATCCCATGAGGCAAGGAAGATATTGCAGTGGGAAGTAATTACCCTTTGCCGTGCAACTCAACAGATTAAGGTGATAGAGAAACCACAATTAAAAACTAAAGACTGCTTATTGTAAGACAAGAAGTACCCACCTATTCTCTTCACAAAGATGCTTCCTTTAATTAAAATCACTTTGCAGCTCAGTTCGTGTAACTAATCAATTCATCAAAAACTTAGCAATCAGTGGCGATGTCTGAGTAAACGTGCTTACAAACACACACACACACTTGCACTTGCCAAGGGAAAGAATGAATAGAGGATAATAATAAACAAGCTCCAAAAAACAATCAGTCTTTATAAACACACAGGAAGGTGTAGTAGAGCACTGTAACCTCACCTTCCCATGAAGTGTGTGTGTGTGTGTGTAATGAAGGCACTCAGCACTGACCAGACCCACATCACAATGAATCTCAGAATGTGAATAGGAAAATCTAATGGGAGAACTGGGATCGAAGTCCCCGAAATAATGAAGCTGGCTTTATGTGCCTTTGCCTGTGCAGGATAGCTTGAATGGGTTATCTGACAGGAAGCATTTAGCCATCCTGACTGAATAATAAACAAAACACACTCTTTCCCCCATCCTTCCTTCTCCCCCAGCCGCCCCTATTATTCTAGCCAACGCCAAAAGGAATCTGAGCAGTTCCCTTAACACACCAGCCCCTTTCTTGATTGCAACTTGTGCCTTAAGGTACGGTGAGCTTTTCCTACCCCTTTCCAGACCCATCACGCCGTTGCTGAAGTCCTCCAGATAGAAGGACCAAACTAACAAGGCACCAAAAGGCATGAGCGTAAAACGACCGGTTCCCATTTGTTTGCAATGGTAGGTAGCTAGCGTCCTCTTCCTCCCTCCCTCCCTCCCTCCCTGCTGGATAAAAGGGCTTCGCAACCTGACAGCTGCTGGGGGTGGGGGGAGGGAGCGGTCTCTCTGACAGCCCCCCCCCCCCCACACACACCCCATTCCTTCTGATGCCAGACTTACTATTCTGAGCTCCTCCTTCTGCAGCTCCTTCAAAACAGCCATCCCTCTCGCTCTCCTCGGCTTCCACTACTCTCACTCATCACTTTTACTCCAGCGCGACGGGATAGATAGAAGCTTTAATGCAATTAAAACTGACCCGCCGTAATCCGCTCTCCCACTCCACACACACACACACCAACCCACCACTGTCCTCCTCCCCAATCCCCTATAAAAGCTACACTTCCGTAGGTTCGCTAGTAAAGACGAAATCGGCGCCGGTCGAACCGTCCGCAGCGGGGCTGGCGACCTGAGCCGCACCGGCCAAAGCGTGGCAGCATTTTCCAAGCCACGTCCAGCAATGCAAGCGTGCTCCTCTCTTTGACCCAGGCGCATCTCCCGACAAGCCAAAACTGTGTCTGTCTGTCTGTCTGTCTGTATGTGTTCCCGTCACACACACAAAGCGAAATCAGGAACCCAGGACACACCAAACTTCACCTCCAGCCTTCAGAAAGGGGGGGGGGGAAGGAAACCGGGAAACGGGACAAGAGGGAAGAGGGAGGCTCACCTCTAGCACCGTAACTTTCGCTGCCTCCGCGCGTTTCCCGCCAGTGTTTTCGAAAGGGGCGAAGAGAGAGCCCGGGTGGCGAAAGCGCGACCCCAATCTTCTTTTTGAGGGCTCTGGTTTGCTGAGGTGGTGCTGGCGAAAATGGGCATGGGAAGAGTCACAAGCCGATTGCTTTGCAACAAACCAGCAGGAGCAGCAGCAGCAGCGACCAAAAACAAACCCAGCTGCTGCTTCCCGAGGCAAAGTCTTGCAGAGAAAAAGGGGGGGAAAGGGAGGGGGGAAAGTAACACATATGCATATAAAAGGGAGGGGGCGGGGAGGTGGAAGAGGGAAACTAGAGGAGAAAGGAGGAGGAGGCGGAGGCTGCAGCAGCAAGAAGGGTGAGGGGAGAAAGAGAGAGAGTGGGGGGCGGGAAGGGGAGCCAGGCAGAAATTGCTCTGTCGCGGGAGCGCTTCGGGGACCGTCTCTGCGCAAGGCGGCGGCTCGTCGACTGCTCCTGCAGCCCCCGTTCTGTCGGCTGCGCGGACTCTCCCCGTGGCTCGCGCTCTTCCCAAAGGAACGCCGCCTACTCGCCTCAATCGCTACATTGTTGACATTCGCAGGCTGACATCATCCTCCTCCCGCCGCTGCCGCCGCCACCACCACTACCGCCACACACGCTCGCGCGCGCGCACACGCACACACACACAGACGGAGTAGGAGCACCCCGCCTTCTCCCCCATTCACAACAACGGTGCGCAAATCGCGTGCCGCCTGCTCCTCATGGGGAGGGAATGGGCCAAAGACCGGCGTAAACCTTCTCTGAGAATAGGGGTTCCTGCGCGGACAGTTCTCTCCGACGGTTCTTGTCGCATGCGCACACCCTTCTCCAGTTTCTCCGGCGCGACGCTTCATCGTTCTCAGCTCCCTCCTCCTTTTGTGTTCGTGCAACTTTTGAGAGGCATACTGGGAATTGTAGTCCTTCTCCCCCCCTCGCCCCCCACGTTGCTGCTTGTAGTCAGAGCAAGGCTCAGTTGTGATGCTCTGGCAAAGCGTACCCAAAAGATCGCTGTTAATGCCGCTTTGGTACCGCAATTAGTTTTCTTTGATTCTTTGATGTAGAGATAGGCAACGTTGCGCTCGTGGGCACTAATACTTCTCAGATAGCATAGCTCCTTTGTTGCTTGGAAGGCTCTTTGTCCTGACTGACATTTTAATTTTTTTTTAATTGAAAACTTAAATAGAAATATAAAATAAAAGCACAGCCTTGTGGTAGGTTTATTCGCAGGAATATTTTTGGGCTCCAAAAAACCCCCCACTAAGATGGTTGTGATCATTCTCAGCCTTTGATCAAATTCACCTTCTGGTAATGTTTTTTTTTTTTTAATGACCAGCCATGAATAATACAATACAATAAAATAAAAATAATTGTGTGAGTGTGCCAACCGCATGGTCTCAACATTTGTGCCCTGGGCCCCAAATGACAGCTTTCCTCTGAATAATAATAATAAAAAAAGCATGGTTTAATAGTCTTCAGCATCAATTAAACACTTTTAATAAAAATGACTCAGCATAAAATAAAACAAAGTAATAAATGGTAATAAGTCAATTAGTCTTGATGACTAATAAAAGTCAATATACATGGAGAAGGCTTAGGATAATAAACATCAATGGCATGAATACATATTCTTCCTGGCCACTTTTGTAAGGACTTATTCTAAATGATTGGATAAAAAAAAATCTCTCCCCCCCCACAAAAAAAATAGATTAAATAATTTGTATTATTAACAACAACAAAAAGGGCTAAGCCAAAACCAAGGTAGAAGAATGTCTGGGGCTCCAAATTATGTTGGACTCCAACTGTTGCCCCATTAACTAGAAAAAGTAGGTTTTCTTGCCCATTAGAATCTGGACTTTTAGACCTGCCATAAAGTTCTTTAGTTTATCAATTAGATGTGCTTTGTTACAGTATAGATTACAAATGTTTCTTTAAAAATAAATATTTGTTTCTTTAGTTTCTCACCACCCAATACCAGAACTTTGCTTTTGAGATATTAACATCATGGCTCCTAGGCATTCCTTCACTTGGAAGAGATCATCTCTTTTGCTGCAACACGTACGCCTCATCATACAATGCCAGCAGATGGCAGACATCATCTTAAAAGAGCCATTTCTATCTATTCTGCCCATATAAATTCTTTCATTTTGGATCATGCTTTTTTGTGATGACATAATTTATCCTCTTTATTGCACCATTAGCTTTCAATAACTAGTATTTCATAATTGAGAGTGTGCTTATAAAATTTAGGACAGGGGCAGGGGGGAAATCCAGCAGGTTCTGACAGGTTCTGGAGAACTGGTAGCAGAAATTTTGAGTAGTTCTGAGAACTGGTAGCAGAAATTTTGAGTAGTTCGGAGAACCTACAAATACAACCTCTGCCTGGCCCCAGAGTGGGGAGGGAATGGAGATTTTGCAATATCTTTCCCCCAGGAGTGGGGAGGGAATGGGGATTTTGCAGTATCCTTCCCCTGGAGTGGGGTGGAAATGGAGATTTTGCAGTATCCTTCCCCTGCCATGCCCACCAAGCCACACCACACCCACCAAGCCATGCCCACAGAACCGGTAGTAAAAAATTTGCATTTCACCATTGGACAGGGGTCTCCAAACTTGGCAACTTTAAGACTTGTGGACTTACAACATAAAACTTGTGGTTTTATATATTCACAGAGGTGTATAGCATGTATGTCTGACATACATTCTAATAGTGAAGCCAAGAATTATGATAAAGTCCAATAACTACAACTGTAGAAAGGATCAGATATGACAACAGTCATGAAGACTGACCACAGAAGTTAAATTAGTTTAACATGAAGCCAAGAAGATATTGACCAGGTTTGCACATTATACTAAACCACAGTTTATTCATTACTTGGGTTCATAGATTGTGCAAGCCAAAACCCATCAAACCTCCTTTGGATGTAGTGCAAAGGGTGAACCCAGTCAGACCCACTAGTTATTGCTATTTTAACTAGCCCACAGTTTTTACATTGAACTTTGCATAGAAATGCTACATATCTTTATGTGAACCAGGACAGAAAGACTGTCTGGTTGGCTGTAGAGAGTGTGTCCTTCCAGAGGTAGACGTCGAAAGCCATAAAGAAGACACTTCATAAGCAATCAATAAGTGGGTAAAGATTTGAAGTTTTGGTGGACACCAAACCTCCTATAGAAAGGCTTGATGCTCAGATATTTGGCACTTTTGAGGAGAAATGAATGGGATTATATGTCATTTTGGAAATGCGGCAGCACAGAAACCAGAGTTTATCTGAAACACTGCAACTTTCATGGCACTCCGACTAATGTGCTTCATTTTTGTTAAATATACATGCATGAAGATCATAAAGGATGGTTTACATGTATGTTAGGATGAAAATTATGACCAAAAAACATGTTTATAGCAGATGAGAGAAAACTATTTTGCAAAGATATGAAGATACTAATAAGGCTTAAGGCAAAAGATTGGAATAATAAGACTGAGTGAGTAAAAAACTAGAACTGATGTAGGTCAATGAAAAGAGGAAATTGGTCAGTTGTAATATGGCTTGATTTATGCTGGCAAAATCAGAGAAGGGAGGGAAGGAAGGAAGGAATTTTCTTTTTCTTTCCCTCAGACTAAGGATAACTATATCAATGATGCAAATATTTGCATTTTTAGAATGATTCCGAAAGGGAGAGCATTGTACTCACTATGCTTTGGCATCCTTGGCCAATGCCTATTTAGTCCAAGCTGGCCCTAATAGTAAGTCTAAAAACATTCTCTTTTGTTCCTATTAGTTACAGTTAATCCACAGACTGAAAAAAAGTGAGATTTTAACAATAGAAAAAAGGCTTTCAATGTATGAAAGCTTTTTTGCTGCCTTTTATAGTGCTTTTATGAATACATGATAGCTCTTAAAGTATGCAAATATGATGTGAATATTTTTTTATAAATTAGAAAAGCATATATATATATATATATATATATATATATATATATATATATATATTCTCTCTCTCTCTCTCTCTCTCTCTCTCACACACACACACACACACACACACACACACACACACTCACACACACAGAATGGTGCACACGCAGAATGGTGTGCACTGTGATCTTACTATTTATAATCCCCCTGGTAACCATGGATGTGTTTCTATCCCTGAAAAAATACTTCATACATTGCTGAAATGGGGTATATTCCATGAATGCTTAATGCCTTACTAATGTGGCTAGTCTTTAAAGTATCATAATAGACTTCACTGATATTTAGGTGTACATGATTGGACTGAGATGCAACTTCTTGAGCAAGCATTTTTGGCTTAGTACTATTTATCTAGTAAAAGGACCCACATCAAACTTTAAAAATCAATGTTGTGAATATCTTCTTCTTCTTCTTCTTCTTCTTCTTCTTCTTCTTCTTCTTCTTCTTCTTCTTCTTCTTCTTCTTCTTCTTCTTCTTCTTCTCCTTCTCCTTCTCCTTCTCCTTCTCCTTCTCCTTCTCCTTCTTCTCCCTTCCTCCTCCTCCTCCTCCTTAGAATCACTACAGTACTAATAAGTAATTGTCTTCAAGCAATACTTTAAATGCTAGTTCCTATGTATTGGAAAGACTTTTTAAAAATTCTTTCATTGTTTTAATCCAAACCAGCTTGAAATGTAAATATTTTGAATAGAAATATCAGCTTTCTTTGATAACAAGCTATTTCTCACTATGTTGCTCTGAAATTTAAATCATCCATTGTTTGTTTGTTTCTCTGTGTTTGTGTCATAGAGGCATTCTGATTCATGAAGAACTAAAATATGAAACTGGGTGGTGAGTTATATCTACCAGCAGTCTCAGCATTTGAAATTAAGAGGCCAGCATCTGAAGAATAATAAAATTTGTTCTGTAAACCTTCTCTCTCTCATGCCTCATCATCATTCATTAATCTGAGGTTATTTCAGAAATTATTTGTGATAATAAAGAAACTTGGGATTTGTATAAACTCAATAAGTGAAGCAGTTTTTTGAACAAAAAGATCACATACAGTATAATACAAGGAAAATATGTCTGTATAGAAAACAGTTTTAAGGTTAGCAAACCTAAAATTATGTCATCTTTTTGTCATATTTGGCAGATGACATATTATACTGTCATCTTTTTGTCATATTTGGCAGAAGGATGTTGACTTTTCCAAACTCCTTCCTGTTGGTTTTCTTACCTGCAACATTAGCCAAGAGTCAGTGTTCCTTTGAGGAAATACCTTACTGATTACAAATAATTTAAAATGCATTCCTTCCCTTGTAAAGTTTGGGCAATGTATTTAGAGGCTATATCCTCTGTTTGAAACATCAACAATCTATTGCACATTTGTTCTGTGACAATTCTTATAAAAGTGATGCCAAACAGCAATTATTAGTGCCAAACACTATTATTATATTGCCAACACTATTACTATATAATAGTGTTGGCACTATTATAAAATACTGCACACAGCACTTTCCTTCTCCTTCCTTGTCTGTGCATATGCACAAGCAGGTATATCTATCTACAGTATGTATATCTAAAGCAGCATTACTCTACAAATATAATCCTGAGCAGCGCACTTCATACATTTTAAAACAAGGGTTTCACATTTTCTTCAGGCTGATGCAGTTTCTTTATTTTTAAAAGAAGGGGAAACTTTCTGGTAAATAAAAAATGATAGTATTCCCATGTATAATAGAAAAAGTCACAGAAAGTTGCTGGGTATACTTAAAATATTAAATATTTTATTGATATAGTGTTTAAGGTGTTGGTCTAGGAGTGGAGGAACTGAGAT